CAAAGCAACTAAACAACTCAATCGCTTTTGCTGACACCCAAAAAACATGAACAGCAACAACTGCAGTAACAAGAGCAACAAAAACTGTGCACCATTGTTACCCTTCCTTGCGGGTCCCGAATTGTGTCTATACATTACTTACTTTATCTTTCGTCTTGTATTGTTAGATGTCAAGGGGAGGTGAAATTTTCAGTCAAGGGTTAGGTGGGTGGCTTTTGTTGTTGCCTGATGTTATTCTTTAGGAAGATGTCTTCAACGCCATTCTGTCAAGTTTTGGGTGGCCTTCCCCTGGCCTTGTGTCTGACTTTTTTGAGTTATGACACTTCTACAACAACAACTATTTTTTTCTTACGCGTCCTGCATCAAATGTTTCTGGCCAGGTCTGTGTCAGGCACAGCGACAGCCGGATTGACTAGTACTGTGATAAACACTGACAACATGAACATTTTTGGTCATAATTTTTGTGTTCTAAATGAATATGACTATGGCAATTTTTATTCATCTCACGGAGAAATACGTCATGGTCGGTTGAAATAATAGTGTTATTCCAAAGTTCACGATTGTACACTCACGCATACACACAACAAAGTAAGGGCATAACTATTGCGTTCCGAAACTCTCCCCACCACCCACCAAATAAATATTCTCTTTCTCTGTCTCTCTGTCTGTCTCTCTCCTTCTTTCTGTCTCTCCCTGTCTCTCTGCCTGTCTGTCTCCTTCTTTCTGTCTCTCCCTGTCTGTCTGTCTGTCTGTCTGTCTGTCTGTCTGTCTGTCTGTCTGTCTGTCTGTCTGTCTGTCTGTTTCTCTTTCTCTCTTTTCTCTCTTTCTCTCTCTTTCTCCCCACCCCTCTCTCCCTCTCTCTGTTTCATTTGTAGCATTGTGTACTCAGTTATGAATTTCTTTAGTTTAGTAAGAGTTTTACCGTGCTCGCAACTTAAAAAGGGTTTACGAGCGCGTGAACATAGATTGATTGTTTTCACGACAATGAGTGTCTGTATCTTTCTGTTCGTTTTTTCTTGGAAATACGTCGTTTATGATAATTGAAATTCCGATTTGATAAGTGACTATGGCCACTTAGCTAGTATTATTTCCGCCGTTTTTAGAAGGTTTGTGGAAATGACCGTTAGTTTGCCACTGTGATATCTTTACAAACTAAACAAAACCCTTTGACCGGGTTGGGCAGGATTGAATCAGTCTGTTACCAAATTGATCTTTAAAAAAAAAAACCCAACCCCATACCATTTTAAATTATTCGCCATTAATCAATCCACAGGAGGGTAGTGTGTGGAAGATGAAGCTAAACGACCGGAGCGCCATCCTCCACCACAAATCACAGTTATGGGACTTTGCCCGCTACTGGCACGGGGCGCTGCTGCATGGTGGGATTGTTTACATCGTTGCTGGGGAAACGCCGGAGAACTCTGACCTGCAGGTGAGGCGGTGACTGACCACATCCGTCTCGTAAGAGAGAGAGAGAGAGAGAGAGAGAGAGAGAGAGAGAG